TCTCACTCTCACTCTCCCGCAGGCATCCAAAAAGGGTTGAAAAGGTCTCGCAAGACAGTGCTAGGAGGCGATTTATCTCCCGGGGGTGAGGATGCCCTGCATTCTCTTTCTCTCTCTCTCTCTCTCTCTCTCTCTCTCTCTCTCTCTCTCTCCTCTCTCTCTCTCTCTCTCTCTCTCCCTCTCTCTCTCCTCTCTCTCTCTCTCTCTCTCTCTCTCTCTCTCTCTCTCTCTCCTCTCTCTCTCTCTCTCTCTCTCTCTCCTCTCTCTCTCTCTCCTCTCTCTCTCTCTCTCCTCTCTCTCTCTCTCTCTCCTCTCTCTCTCTCTCCTCTCTCTCTCTCTCTCCTCTCTCTCTCTCTCCTCTCTCTCTCTCTCTCCTCTCTCTCTCTCTCTCTCTCTCTCTCTCTCTCCTCTCTCTCTCTCTCTCTCTCTCTCTCTCTCCTCTCTCTCTCTCTCTCTCCTCTCTCTCTCTCTCCTCTCTCTCTCTCTCTCTCTCTCTCCTCTCTCTCTCTCTCTCTCTCTCTCTCTCTCTCTCCTCTCTCTCTCTCTCTCTCCTCTCTCTCTCTCTCTCTCTCTCTCCTCTCTCTCTCTCTCTCTCCTCTCTCTCTCTCTCCTCTCTCTCTCTCTCTCTCCTCTCTCTCTCTCTCTCTCTCTCTCTCTCTCTCCTCTCTCTCTCTCTCTCTCTCTCCTCTCTCTCTCCGCAGGCATCCAAAAAGGGTTGAAAAGGTCTCGCAAGACAGTGCTAGGAGGCGATTTATCTCCCGGGGGTGAGGATACCCTGCATTCTCTCTCCTCTCTCTCTCTCTCTCTCTCTCTCTCTCTCTCTCTCTCCTCTCTCTCTCTCTCTCTCTCTCTCTCTCTCTCTCCTCTCTCTCTCTCTCTCTCTCTCTCTCTCCTCTCTCTCTCTCTCTCTCTCTCCTCTCTCTCTCTCTCTCCTCTCTCTCTCTCTCCTCTCTCTCTCTCTCCTCTCTCTCTCTCTCTCTCCTCTCTCTCTCTCTCCTCTCTCTCTCTCTCTCTCTCCTCTCTCTCTCTCTCTCTCTCTCCTCTCTCTCTCTCTCTCTCCTCTCTCTCTCTCTCCTCTCTCTCTCTCTCCTCTCTCTCTCTCTCTCTCTCTTTCTTTTCCTTTTCTTTTCTTTTTTTGCTTCTTTTTTATTAATAAAACATTATAACAACACATTTGCTATGTTTAAAGGTGGTCAAATATCAACAAAATGTCAACAGCTAATAAGTTAGATGTGAGAATAATACTGCAGAAATACAATTCCTGCTCGATTTTTCGCATTGCGCGGCTCTTTTGTTCTGTGACAACTTCTTTACCAAAAGTTGATGATCCGAGAATTCCCGCTCAGATCGCCACAACTGAGGCTAGCCGCATCAGAGCAACAACTCACGCAGACAGCTCAGCATAAGGAAGCCAAGCCGAACGGCAGCCTTTGTGCCTGTGAGCGCAGACTTGGCCAACAGCGACAGGATGTAGGTGGCCAAGCTTTCGAGCAAGGAGTGCAAGTTCCTGCAGAAGGGGAAGGAGGTGCGCCTCGGGAAGGGCAAGTACGGGCGCGTGGTGCGCGTGAGCTACAAGGGCAAGGAGTGCGCCCTCAAGCTGGCCGCCCCCGGCTCCAAGGTGGTGTTCGAGCACGAGATGGAGATGCTGAGGCGGCTGCAGGGCGCGGGGGGAGCGCCCATGGCCTTGGCGTACAGTGAGGATCCGTCGTGCCTCCTGATGACGTACCTGGGCAAGGAGTGCCTGGCCGACGTGCTGAGTGCGCAGCGCAGCCAGAAGCAGCTCCTGCAGCTGAGCGTGAAGCTGGCGGAGGCCGTGGCGGCCGTGCACGCCGCCGGCATCGTGCACTGCGACCTGAAGCCCACCAACGTGATGGTGCAGCTGCGCGGCGCAGCAGGAGCGCCGTCGGTGCACATCATCGACTTCGGGATGGCACTTCCCGTGGGCCAGTGCCATCCCGAGAGCAGCAAAGGGCGGCAGTCGTGGTACTGCTCGTGCGTGCACCAAGGCACGCCGCTGACGGAGTAGTGCGACGTGCTGGGCGTGGGCGTGATGCTGCAGTTCGTGGCGGAGAGCATGAAGGCGCCGCTGGCGGCCCTGCAGGCGCTGGCGGAGCGAGCGCAGCGCCCCGAGCACGACCAGCGCCCCTCGCTGGAGGAGATTGTGGAGGCGCTGGGCGAGATGCTGCGCCTCTGCCAGTGAGCAGCCCTTGGAGGCGAAGCCTGGCTTTCGGAAGGAAGTCTTGTGGCGCCGCCAGGAAAAGTCTGCTTTTGAAGGGAAGAGCCAGGCGCCATTTCCTGGTATTGGTTTTTAGTTAAAAAAAAAAAAAAAAAAAAAAAAATCATAATAATAATAAACAAGAAAAAGGAAAAATAAAAGACGCAAAAAAGTAATTAAAAAATAATAAAAAAGTAAAAAAAAAAAAAAGGAAAAAAGAAAAAAAAAACAATAAAAAGTAAAAAAAAAAAAAAAAAAAAAAAAGAATAAAAAAAAAACTATAAAATATATATATACATATTTACCCGTCCAACGGCATTGTGTGTGTGTGTGTGCATGGTTGTGTTTGTGCGTGCGCGCGTGCGTGTGTGTGTGTGTGTGCGTGTGCATGCTTGTGTTTGTGCGCGCGCGCGTGTGTGTGTATGTGTGTGTGTGCATGTTTGCGTTTGTGCGCGCGCGCGCGCGCACGCGTGTGTGTGTGTATGGTTGCATTTGTGTGGGCGCGCGTGCGTATGTGTGTGTGTGTATGTGCAGGTTGTGTTTGTGCGCGCTCGCGCATGCCTGTGTGTGTGTGTGTGTGCGTGTATACGCACATACACGCGCACACACACACACAAACACTCGGATACACACACACAGTCGTACACACACACACAAACACTCGGATACACACACACAGTCGCACACACACACACAAACACTCGGATACACACACACAGTCGCACACACACACACAAACACTCGGATACACAGACACAGTCGCACAAACACACACACACACACAAACACTCGGATACACAGACACAGTCGCACAAACACACACACACACACAAACACTCGTATACACGACTGTACGTGTGTGTATGCGAGTGTTTGTGTGTGTGTTTGTGTGTGTGTGCGTGTATGCGAGTGTTTGTGTGTGTGTGTGTGTTTGTGTGTGTTTGTGTGTGTGTGTTTGTGTGTGTTTGTGTGTGTGTGTTAGTGTGTGTGTATTTGCGTGTGCAACTGTTTGTGTGTGTCTGTGTTTGTGTGTGTGTGCGCGTATATGTGCGTGTGCGACTGTACGTGTGTGTGTAAGCGAGTGTTTGTGTGCATGTGTGTGTGTGTGTGTGTGTGTGTGTGTGTGTGTGTGTGTACGTGTATGTGTGTGTTTTCATGTATGTGCGTATGTGCATATGTGCGTGCGTGTGTGCCACTGTGAGAGTGCGTGTATGTAAATCATTCATGTATGTGTAAGCGAGTGTTTGTGTGTGTATGTATGCTTTTGTATGGCTGTGCAGTTGTGTGTGTATGTCTGTCTGTGTGTGTGTGTGTTTGTGCTTACATATGTATGTGTACGGGCGAGTGCTTGCTTGCTTGCGTGCCGGTGTATGTGTATGTGTGTGTCTGTATGTGTGTGAACTTCTCAGTGTGTGTGCGTGTGCGTATGTGTGCGCGCCAAAATCTGTGGCAAATTATCTTATCAAAAAAGATAAGATAAAACACCACAAGTTACAATAAAAAAAAAAAAAACTATGGCATTTTCATAAATGGGATATCGATTTTAAGTGTTATAAGAATAAAAAAACTATTACATGAAAGGCTTTTTTTTATAATGAAAATCGCCATTATATGAGATATATAGTGATTTTGAGACGGAATAAATAAAGATAAATTTTAATAACGTGTTCTCTCTCTGCCTGTTGTCTCTTTCTCTTATTCCTTCCCCGTTTTCTTCACTCTCTCTTAATTTTTCTGTCTCTCATTTCTTCGCATTTCTTCGCGAGTCATTAGAATATAATAAATATTAGAAACTGTTATGTATGAAGAAAGGAAAACATAAGAACGGATACATTTTATTTTTTGCCTCTTTTAGTAAATCAATTCATTTGCTTTGTTCTATCTCACTCTATTTCATTTTGTTTCATTTCTTCCCAAGTCTTTTCGCATTCTGTAATTCGATTTAATTCTCACACCCCCTTTCTTTTCTTTCTTTCTTGGAATATCGAAAACGCGAGAAAATGTAGCAAATGAAAGGGAATAAACAAATGACAGAGAAATGCTGAAGACAGAGAAGAGAAGAAATAATAGAGGCCCTAAAATAAGGAAACTGAAGAAGAGATGGCGAACACTCAAGAAAGAATGCAACGGACTCTTAAAAATTCCTTTATTATTATTATTCTTTGTTTAATTAGTTTTATTTCTCGCATTTTTTCCTCATTTATCACGATATATTCTGTTCATCTCCTATTTTCTCTCAGTTTATCGCGTTCTTACTTTCTCTCTTTCTTTTTCATTTGAACTTCCTCGCTCTCTCTCTCTCTCTCTCTCTCTCTCTCTCTCTCCATTCCAGCTTGATCGATATGTAGGTTATAGGTAGATAGAGTGAAATATATATAGGAAAGTAAATAGATAGATGGACAGATAGATAGATAGACTTCCCTCCAATCCCTAGTAATAATAATGATAATAGTAAGGATAACAATAATAATAATGATAGTAGTAATGATAGTAATAATATTAATAATAATGATAATAATAATAATAATGATAATGATAGTAGTAGTAATAATAACAATAACAATAATAATAAATAATAATAATGAGCGGGGCGCGAACCGCCGACCCCTCGGTTGAGAGGCTGACACGTTACCGCTGTACTAGCCCGAAAGATCAAATTTAATGAAATGCACATAAATATATATTTCGTTGGAACTTCACTTCTTGTCGGGTTAACGCTAGTCAACCTTAGAATTCGTTTAGAAAGATTTACCCTAAAAGACTCATGGTAATGAAATAAAATGAGATTAAATACCTGATTAAAGCATGAGATGATGGAACCAGGCTAAATGGAACAAAATTATTAAAAAAACAGCCCAGTCATAGAAGATAACAACATTGCAAACATTGTACATAGTGTACATGTTTAGGTGAATTACGAGTTACTTACACGAGACTTTTTTTTTTGTTTTAATTCTCGAACAGACCGTGTGTGGGCGTGGCCAGTGTCCCTTGTCGTGGGCGTCTCTCCCCTGCCATGGGGACCATCCTCAATTCACCGCGCTCTCCTTCAAAAGGGCTGGTAAAAAAAACAATTGAAATAAAATTTGTTGTGCGATATATTGGCATTTATTTGGGTTTTATAAGCATGACATGGAATTAATCTTTATTTTTCGGCTATGTAAGATGACTCGTGTCGTGAAATAGAAAAAAATGGCGACGCGGCGCAAAATGTCGATAAGAAATCGCATTTCAGTGTTTTCCTCTCTTTCTTTTCTTTTCTTTTTTTGCTTCTTTTTTATTAATAAAACATTATAACAACACATTTGCTATGTTTCTTTAAAGGTGGTCAAATATCAACAAAATGTCAACAGCTAATAAGTTAGATGTGAGAATAATACTGCAGAAATACAATTTCTGCTCCATTTTTCGCATTGCGCGGCTCTTTTGTTCTGTGACAACTTCTTTACCAAAAGTTGATGATCCGAGAATTCCCGCTCAGATCGCCACAACTGAGGCTAGCCGCATCAGAGCAACAACTCACGCAGACAGCTCAGCATAAGGAAGCCAAGCCGAACGGCAGCCTTTGTGCCTGTGAGCGCAGACTTGGCCAACAGCGACAGGATGTAGGTGGCCAAGCTTTCGAGCAAGGAGTGCAAGTTCCTGCAGAAGGGGAAGGAGGTGCGCCTCGGGAAGGGCAAGTACGGGCGCGTGGTGCGCGTGAGCTACAAGGGCAAGGAGTGCGCCCTCAAGCTGGCCGCCCCCGGCTCCAAGGTGGTGTTCGAGCACGAGATGGAGATGCTGAGGCGGCTGCAGGGCGCGGGGGGAGCGCCCATGGCCTTGGCGTACAGTGAGGATCCGTCGTGCCTCCTGATGACGTACCTGGGCAAGGAGTGCCTGGCCGACGTGCTGAGTGCGCAGCGCAGCCAGAAGCAGCTCCTGCAGCTGAGCGTGAAGCTGGCGGAGGCCGTGGCGGCCGTGCACGCCGCCGGCATCGTGCACTGCGACCTGAAGCCCACCAACGTGATGGTGCAGCTGCGCGGCGCAGCAGGAGCGCCGTCGGTGCACATCATCGACTTCGGGATGGCACTTCCCGTGGGCCAGTGCCATCCCGAGAGCAGCAAAGGGCGGCAGTCGTGGTACTGCTCGTGCGTGCACCAAGGCACGCCGCTGACGGAGTAATGCGACGTGCTGGGCGTGGGCGTGATGCTGCAGTTCGTGGCGGAGAGCATGAAGGCGCCGCTGGCGGCCCTGCAGGCGCTGGCGGAGCGAGCGCAGCGCCCCGAGCACGACCAGCGCCCCACGCTGGAGGAGATCGTGGAGGCGCTGGGCGAGATGCTGCGCCTCTGCCAGTGAGCAGCCCTTGGAGGCGAAGCCTGGCTTTCGGAAGGAAGTCTTGTGGCGCCGCCAGGAAAAGTCTGCTTTTGAAGGGAAGAGCCAGGCGCCATTTTCTGTTTTTTTTTTTGTTTTTTTTTATAATAACGAAAAAAAAGAAAAAAAAAAGACATAAAAATGTAGAAAAAAAAGTAAAAAAATGAATAAAAAAATAAAAAAGCTAAAAAGTAAAAAAAAAAAAAAAAAAAAAAAAAAAAAAAAAAAAAAAAAAAAAAAAAAAAAAAAAAAAATAAAAAAAGCTAAAAAAAAAAAGCTAAAAAAAATAATAATAAAATAAAAAATATATATATATATACATATTTGCCCGTGCATTGGTATTGTGTGTGTGTGTGTGGTTGCGTTTGTGCGCGCACGTGCGCGTGTGCGTGTGCGTGTGTGTGTGTGTGTGCATGTTTGTCTTTGTGCGCGCTCAAGCGTGTGTGCGTGTGTGTGTGCATGCTTGCGTTTGTGCGTGCGCGCGCGTGCGTGTGTGTGTGTGTGCATGATTGCGTTTGTGCGTGCGCGCATGCGTGTGTGTGTGTATGCATGCTTGAGTTTGTGCGCGCGCGTGTGTGTGTGCATGGTTGCGCTCAAGCGAACGCGTGTGTGTGTGTGTGTATGGTTGCGTTTGTGTGCGCGCGCGTGCGTGCATGTGTGTGTGTATGTGTGCATGGTTGCGTTTGTGCGCTCGCGCGCGCGCGCGTGTGTGTGTGTGCATGGTTGCATTTGTGCGCTCGCGCGTGTGCGCGTATGTGTGTGTGTGTGTGCATGGTTGCGCTCGCGCGCGAACGCGTGTGCGTGTGTGTATGGTTGCGTTTGTGTGCGCGCGCGTGCGTGCATGTGTGTGTGTGTGTCTGTGTGTGCATGGTTGCGTTTGTGTGCTCGCGCGCGCGCGCGCGCGCGTGTGTGTGCGTGTGTATGCATGTTTGCGTTTGTGCGCGCGTGCGTGTGTGTCCATGGCTGCGTTTGTGCGCGCGTGCGTATGTGTGTGTGTGCATAGTTGTGTTTGTGCGCACTCGCGCGTGTGCGTGCGTGCGTGTGTGTGTGCCTGGTTGCGTTTGTGCGCGCTCGCGCGTGTGCGTGCGTGTGTGTGTGTGTGTTTTTGTGTGCATGGTTGCGTTTGTGCGCTCGCGCGCGCGCGTGTGTGTGTATGTGTGTATACATGGTTGCTTTTGTGCGCGCGCGCACGTGCGTGTGTATGTGTGTATACATGGTTGCTTTTGTGCCCGCGGGCGCGTGCGTGCGTGTGTGTGTGTGTGTGCATGGTTGCGTTTGTGCGTGCGTGCGTATGAGTATGTGTGCATGTGCACGAGTGTGTGTGTGTGTGTGTGTGTGTGTGTGTATGTATATGTTCATGCGTAATAATTAGAAATACAAAACAGTTAAATAAAACGATAAAATAAGCATCAAACTCCATAAAAGAACCGTTAAAATAAAATATGTAATAAAAAGGACATACCACAAACGCCGCGAAATAAGTTAATTCTATATCAAAATCTCGATGATAAATCAAGAGACCTAGAAAACAAATTAAATGTATTAAACGAAAGCAGAACTGGTAAAAATTAACGTAAGGCAGTAATACAGACAAGTAATAGGAAAAAAATAGAAAACGGCACAGGGATAACTAAACTAGTCACGCGCAGGAGAAATTGTGGTGCCAATAAAAGTCAAGCGCGTGTGCAACTGAAGTGTGTCGCCCTCTCCTCTGGATCATAGACCACACTTCGCAGTAATCATAATGGTAAACATAATATGGGTCCTGTGATAAAACAATCGTAATGTTTAAGCACACTTTCTCTCCCTCTACCCCCCTCTCTTTCTCTATAGATCTATAAATATGTCTCTATTTCTCTCTCTCTCTCTCTCTTTCTCTCCCTCTATCTATCTATCTGCCTATCTATCTCTCTCTCTCTCTCTCTCTAGCTGTAGCTATATCTATCTATCTCTGCCTATCTATATATCTATCTATCTCACTCTACCTATCTCTATCTCTATCTCTATCTTTAAAATTCAGCAATTTAGGTAGGAACAGGCAAATACAAGTTCTTTACATTTCCGCCATCTTGGTTTACCTGAAGGAACAGGCTTCGGTAATTCATGTTCTTAACTTTTTGTTTACGAAGAAAACGGTATACATTTGAAAAAGCTCACTTCAATAAACAACAATTTTGTGCGTTTTCAGTAGTAAAAGTCCGTGGAGTACTTTGGGGTTAGTGTCTGCTAAGGAGCCATTTTGTATTGTCATTTTTATTGTAAGTTATTTTGACTGGTATGTACCATATACCTGTCTCACACACACACATGGCAAGCACACATTCGCCCATACACGCACATACGCTTAAATCCTTATCATAAACAAGTGTTAGCGCGCCGAACCGCGGTTGATTAGGAAGGGCATTCAATCAGGCAAGGGTGACACTGCCATATAACCTCTCAATATTGAATTGAGAGAGGCCTATGTCCTGCAGTGGAATGAATGGCTGTTGAAAAAAAAAACATAGCTTACGAGGAGAAAACATTCATAAATCTCATGATGTTAAAGAAGGCTCAAACCGCTTCTAGGTCTCTCTCTCCTCAGACTGATCCATATTTACACAAACATGCACTCACAAATGCACACAAATTTATCTTTCGCTGGAATTTCACTTCTTGTCGGGTTAATGCTCGTCAGCCTTAGAATTCGTTTAGAAAGACTGACCCTAAAAGACTTGTAGTAATAAAATAAAATGAGATTAAATACCTGATTAAAGCATGAGATGATGGGACAAGGCTAAATAGAACAAAATTATTAAAAAAAAAACCAAACCAATCATAGAAGATAACAACATTGCAAACATTGTACATAGCGTGGATGTTTAGGTGAATTACGAGTTGCTTCCCACACACGAGATTTTTTTTTCTTTTTCTCGAACAGGACGTGTGTGGGCGTGGGCAGTATCCCTTGTCGTGGGCGTCTCTCCCCTGCTATGGTGATAATGAAAGGGACTTTACTCAATTCATCGCGCTCTCCTTCAAAAGGGCTGGTAAAAAGACAGTTGAAATCAAATTTGTTGTGCGATATATTGGCATTTATTTAGGTTTTATAAGCATGACATGGAATTAATCTTTATTTTTCGACTATGTGAGATGACTCGTGTCGTGAAATAGAAAAAAAAATGGCGACGCGGCGCACAATGTCGACAAGAAATCGCATTTCCCATTAATCAGTGTTTTTCTCTCTCTCTTTTTTTTTTTTTTTTTTTTTTTTTTTGCTTCTTTTTGATTAATAAAACAGTATAACAACATATATCAACAAAATATTAACAGCCAAAAAGTTAGATGTGACGAAAATATCGCAGAAATACAATTCCTGCTCCATTTTTCGCATTGCGCGGCTCTTTTTTTCTGTGACAACTTCTTTACCAAAAGTTGATGATCCGAGAATTCCCGCTCAGATCGCCACAACTGAGGCTAGCCGCATCAGAGCAACAACTCACGCAGACAGCTCAGCATAAGGAAGCCAAGCCGAGCGGAAGCCTTTTAGCTTTTGAGCGCAGACTTGGCCAACAGCGACAGGATGTAGGTGGCCAAGCTTTCGAGCAAGGAGTGCAAGTTCCTGCAGAAGGGGAAGGAGGTGCGCCTCGGGAAGGGCAAGTACGGGCGCGTGGTGCGCGTGAGCTACAAGGGCAAGGAGTGCGCCCTCAAGCTGGCCGCCCCCGGCTCCAAGGTGGTGTTCGAGCACGAGATGGAGATGCTGAGGCGGCTGCAGGGCGCGGGGGGAGCGCCCATGGCCTTGGCGTACAGTGAGGATCCGTCGTGCCTCCTGATGACGTACCTGGGCAAGGAGTGCCTGGCCGACGTGCTGAGTGCGCAGCGCAGCCAGAAGCAGCTCCTGCAGCTGAGCGTGAAGCTGATGGAGGCCGTGGCGGCCGTGCACGCCGCCGGCATCGTGCACTGCGACCTGAAGCCCACCAACGTGATGGTGCAGCTGCGCGGCGCAGCAGGAACGCCGTCGGTGCACATCATCGACTTCGGGATGGCACTTCCCGTGGGCCAGTGCCATCCCGAGAGCAGCAAAGGGCGGCAGTCGTGGTACTGCGCGTGCGTGCACCAAGGCACGCCGCTGACGGAGTAGTGCGACGTGCTGGGCGTGGGCGTGATGCTGCAGTTCGTAGCGGAGAGCATGAAGGCGCCGCTGGCGGCCCTACAGGCGCTGGCGGAGCGAGCGCAGCGCCCCGAGCACGACCAGCGCCCCTCGCTGGAGGAGATCGTGGAAGCGCTGGGCGAGATGCTGCGCCTCTGCCAGTGAGCAGCCCTTGGAGGCGAAGCCTGGCTTTCGGAAGGAAGTCTTGTGGCGCCGCCAGGAAAAGTCTGCTTTTGAAGGGAAGAGCCAGGCGCCATTTTCTGGTATTGGTTTTTAGTTGAATGAAAAAATAAATAAATAAAAGACGCAAAAAAAGTAATAAAAAAATAATAAAAAGTAAAAAAAAAAAAAAAAAAAAAAAAAAAAAGTAAAGAAAAAAAAACAATAAAAAGTAAAAAAAATAAAGAATAAAAAAACTATAAAATATATATATAAATGCCAAGAAGGCAATATGTTGTGGTTATAGCAGACATTGAAATCAATGTATTTTCTGTAGATGCCTGTGGTGCAATAAAGTCATGCACATCTATGCAATCTGTAGCTGTAAAAATAAGAAAAAAAATAAAAGAAAAAAAGAAAAATATATATATACATAATGCACGAGCGTGCCTGCCATCGACCTTGGAGAGGGACCTCACGAAAGCAGCTTCTCAGACGAGTTTCCTCTGCTTTCTTAACACAATAACAACACAAGCACACGCAAACACACACACACACAAACATAAATACACACACACATTAAAAAAAAAAAAAAAAAAAAAAAAAAAAAAAAAAAAAAAAAAAATATATATATATATATATATATATATATATATATATATATATATATATATATATATATATATATATATATATATGCATTTGAATATATACATACATGCATATATATGTCTATATATACACTGAAGTTCAATGCCGACTATGGCATTATTTTCTCTATCCATTCCAATGCCGGGGGAAGGAATGAGCTGTTACACATGTACCGGGCTCCCTCTCTCCACGCAGCTGATGGATCCAAAGGAACATAAAACATAAAACAAAAAACAATAATAATAATAAAAAAAAAATATATATATATATACATATACATATACCAATTTACCCGGAAGTGCATGCTAATGTGTGTGTGTGTGTGTGTGTGTGTGCGTATGTGTGTTTGTGTGTGTACGTGTGTGCGGGTGAGTGTTAGGTTATGCATGTTTACACTTATGTATGTGTATTTAAGAATGTGTATATGTGTGTATGTGTCTATATACGCGCGTATACAGTAAATTCTAATGTGTACGGTACACACACTTGCAAGGACTCACACAAGTACACAGTCATTCTCTCCGTCACTTCTCCTCTCCTTTTCTCATACACGTATACTTGAGTATAGTAAGAGGTATCAAAAATAAAAAGATAAAAAAAGACAAATAAAATAAAATAAAAAATAAAGAAAATGACAGCGAAGGTAGATAAGAATAAGCTACGAAAACAAAAATGAAAACGTATTAGTACATATATCTTCTTTCTTTTTTTTCTCTCTTTTTCTGTTCTTTCTCTTTCTTTATAAAAAAAGAATGAGGGAAGTCAGATGATGGGCCCCTCCCCCCCCCTCCGCCACTCCTCTGTGTGTGTGTGTGTGTGTGTGTGTGTGTGTGTGTGTGTGTGTGTGTGTGTGTGTGTGTGTGTGTGTGTGTGTGTGTGTGAGCGCGTGTACATTTATTTCTCTTACTCTCTCTCTATCCTCATTATTTTAATTATTATTATTATTATTATTATTATTATTATTATTATTATTATTATTATTATCATTATTATCTTTATTACTATTATCATTTGTGCTGTTATTATTATCGTCATCATCTTTGTTATTGCTATTACGAATATTATTAGCAATACGATTATTATTATTATTACTATTAATATTATTATCATTATTATTATTATTATTTATTACTATTATTATTATCATTATTATCATTGTTTATTATTATTATTATTATCATTATTAACATTAGTAGTAGAATCTTTATCATTATCATTGTTTTGTTGTTGTTGTTATTATCATTATCATCATTATCATTATTATTATTGTTGTTTTTGTTGTTGTTTTTATTATTGTTCTAGGTTCTATTGTTCTTCAGGTTATTATTATTATTATTATTATTATTATTATTATCATTATTATTATTATTGATAATAATAATTATAAAGAAAAATATAATGATAATAACATTAATAATGATAGTAATAATAATAATAATAATAGTAATAATAATAATAATAATAATAGTAATAGTAATAATAATAATAATAATAATAATAATAATAATAATAATAATAATAATGATAATAATAATAATAATAATAATAATAACAATAATAGTAGTAGTAGTAATAAGGGTAACACTAATGATAACAACAAAAATAATAATAACAAAGATAATATTTTTATAATGATATTTTATTTTTATTAATAATATTTTTACTGGAGAATATTTAATTGGGAAAATTCAAATAAAACAACTACCAGAGTCGGCCTTATTGTCGCTGTTGTTGGTGTTTATCAGTATTGTTTGTTATTATTACAGAGACGTGGCTAAACCGTCTATCTCTTCTGACGGCGGTATTAAGTCCCTTAAAGCCCAGGAGGATGTCTCTAGGCCAGATAGTATTGCAGCCTGTTGCTGCAACTCTGCATAGTTGCCGACCAGAGTGACCTCTGATCTCGAGAGGGGGACGTTATCTCCTTGAAGAACACTCGCGAACCGCCAAACACGAGCAGGTGTCAAGAAACACCTGTTAACTTTTCCCGAAACTAAAGAAGGTTACCTCCGGTCTCGATCCTGGGACCTGCAACGTGCAAGTCAGAGACGCTGCCGATGCCGCCACCAAAACCTATTGCTCAACACGCAAATTGGGCTTTTTATATTTTCAACTCGGGTGAAGACACGCGAACTACACCGTTAGGATATGTAATTTAGATTTCCCTACTTTCATTATTAACAGAAAACGAAAACTTGTTAATATATTTACAGAAAACTTAAAGATGCAGAGCGGTACGGAGTAAATAACTTAAATGTCATAACATTCAATCACAAAATTCTTGTCTTGGTGTTTTTATATCTAACTCTATGCAATTCTACCCTTGATCTGCCCTCTTTTACTTTTTTATTCTTCTTCTGTTATTTCTTTCTTTTCATTATTCTGAGATCTTCATTCTTTTAAACATTGCCATGCGTGTATAGTGATATCGAAGAAAATTAGTTATCCCTACTTTTAGCAGTCAAAGAAAACGTTAACACTTGCTTGTGTTCAAAGAAAACGGATTACTTTTAGGGGAAACATTTTTGTTGTGATACATTTCTTTACTCACTTTACTCATTGCAACGTCGTTAGCCTAAAGCAAAACTTACTAACTCATTAGTAACATTATTGCAATCGTTAACGATATTACTATCATTATTGCTATGGTCATTGTTAATGGAGAGAGAGAGAGAGGCATGTCAAACTAGAAAAGAGAAAAAAGAATGATAAAAGTAAGATAAAAAGAAAAAGAAATATGAAGCTTCATACAAATTAGAAAAAAACTAAAAGCAACAACAATGAAACGGGGAGAAGATAAGATATGTCATGAAATGAATGAAAAAGAGGAGACAGAAAATACAGAAACTCAAATGATAAAAAAAGTAAAATGACAAAAACAATTAAAAAGGTGAATTAAAGGCAAGAAAGGAAAAGAGAAATTAAGGGGACAACATTGAGAGATGAAAGAAAAAAATAACATCCAGAATATAATGAAAACGTTTTGAGAAGAACAAATCGAGACGATTTTTTTTCCCAAAGGAGAGAAATTCTTGGAAGTTGGACTTTTCATGAAGGCTTCTTACGGATGTCCCTTCCCCCACGACACGTATCGTGAATCTCGGTTTTCGCCGCGACCACGACGGTGAAGTGTTGTGTTGTACTCCCTCTCACTCTCACTCTCCCGCAGGCATCCAAAAAGGGTTGAAAAGGTCTCGCAAGACAGTGCTAGGAGGCGATTTATCTCCCGGGGGTGAGGATACCCTGCATTCTCTCTCTCTCTCTCTCTCTCTCTCTCTCTCTCTCCTTCTCTCTCGTGTTTCCGTCATTCGTGTTATCAACATTTTCTTTCTTTCTCTCTCTTTGTCTTTTTCTTTCATATTCTTCGTTTTCACATTCTCTCATTCTCACAGATCCTGCTCTTCCCTTCTATGGCATTTTCATAAATGGGATATCTATTTTAGGTGTTATAAGAATAAAAAAACTATTACATGAAAGGCAATGAATTAATCTTAATTTTTCTGATTCTCATTTCTTCGCTTTCGACTTAATATTCTGGATCAGAATACATCTATTTGCGAGTCATTAGAATATAATAAATATGAAATAAGACGTAGCGCGAGAAACTGTTATGTATGAAGAAGCGAGAACATAAGAACGGATACATTTTAGTTTTTGCCTCTTTTAGTAAATCAATTCATTTGCGTTCTCTCTCACTCTATTTCATTTTGTTTCATTTCTTCCCAAATCTTTTCGCATTCTGTAATTCGATTTAATCCTCACACCCCCTTTCTTTTCTTTCTTTCTTGGAATATTGAAAACGCGAGAAAATGTATCAAATGAAAGGGAATAAAGAAATGACAGAAATGCTGAAGACAGAGAAGAGAAGAAATAAAAGAGGCCCTAAAATAAGGAAACTGAAGGAGAGATGGCGAACACTCAAGAAAGAATGCAACGGACTCTTAAAAATTCCTTTATTATTATTATTCTTTGTTTAATTAGTTTTATTTCTCGCATTTTTTTCTTCATTTATCACGATATATTCTGTTCATCTATTTTCTCTCAGTTTATCGCGTTCTTACTTTCTCTCTCTCTCTCTCTCTCTCTCTCTCTCTCTCTCTCTCTCTCTCTCTCTCTCTCTCTCTCTCTGTCTCCATTCCAGCTTGATCGATATGTAGGTTATAGGTAGATAGAGTGAAATATATATAGGAAAGTAAATAGATAGATGGACAGATAGATAGATAGACTTCCCTCCAATCCCTTGCCCGTTGTTGTCGTAATAGTAATAATAATGATAATAGTAAGGATAACAATAATAATAATGATAGTAGTAATGATAGTAATAATATTAATAATAATGATAATAATAATAGTAATGATAATGATAGTAGTAGTAATAATAACAATAACAACAATAATAAAAAATAATAATAATGAGCGGGGCGCGAACCGCCGATCCCTCGGTTGAGAGGCTGGCACGTTACCGCTGTACTAGCCCGGAATGTCAGATATTTGAAATGCACATAAATATATCTTTCGTTGGAACTTCACTTCTTGTCGGGTTAACGCTCGTCAGCCTTAGAATTCGTTTAGAAAGATTTACCCTAAAAGACTCATGTAAATTAAATAAAATGAGATTAAATGCCTTATTAAAGCATGAGATGATGGGACAAGGCTAAATGGAACAAAATTATTTAAAAAAAAGCCCAGTCATAGAAGATAACAACATTGCAAACATTGTACATAGTGTAGATGTTTAGGTGAATTACGAGTTACTTACCACACACGAGACTTTTTTTTGTTTTAATTCTCGAACAGACCGTGTGTGGGCGTGGCCAGTGTCCCTTGTCGTGGGCGTCTCTCCCCTGCCATGGGGACCTTCCTCAATTCACCGCACTCTCCTTCAAAAGAGCTGGTAAAAAAAACAATTGAAATAAAATTTGTTGTGCGATATATTGGCATTTATTTGGGTTTTATAAGCATGACATGGAATTAATCTTTATTTTCCGGCTATGTAAGATGACTCGTGTCGTGAAATAGAGAAAAAAATGGCGACGCGGCGCAAAATGTCGATAAGAAATCGCATTTCAGTGTTTTCCTCTCTTTCTTTTCTTTTCTTTTTTTGCTCCTTTTTTATTAATAAAACATTATAACAACACATTTGCTATGTTTCTTTAAAAGTGGTCAAATATCAACAAAATGTCAACAGCCAATAAGTTAGATGTGAGAATAATACTGCAGAAATACAATTCCTGCTCGATTTTTCGCATTGCGCGGCTCTTTTGTTCAGTGACAACTTCTTTACCAAAAGTTGATGATCCGAGAATTCCCGCTCAGATCGGCACAACTAAGGCTAGCCGCATCAGAGCAACAACTCACGCAGACAGCTCAGCATAAGGAAGCCAAGCCGAGCGGAAGCCTTTTAGCTTTTGAGCGCAGACTTGGCCAACAGCGACAGGATGTAGGTGGCCAAGCTTTCGAGCAAGGAGTGCAAGTTCCTGCAGAAGGGGAAGGAGGTGCGCCTCGGGAAGGGCAAGTACGGGCGCGTGGTGCGCGTGAGCTACAAGGGCAAGGAGTGCGCCCTCAAGCTGGCCGCCCTCGGCTCCAAGGTGGTGTTCGAGCACGAGATGGAGATGCTGAGGCGGCTGCAGGGCGCGGGGGGAGCGCCCATGGCCTTGGCGTACAGTGAGGATCCGTCGTGCCTCCTGATGACGTACCTGGGCAAGGAGTGCCTGGCCGACGTGCTGAGTGCGCAGCGCAGCCAGAAGCAGCTCCTGCAGCTGAGCGTGAAGCTGGCGGAGGCCGTGGCGGCCGTGCACGCCGCCGGCATCGTGCACTGCGACCTGAAGCCCACCAACGTGATGGTGCAGCTGCGCGGCGCAGCAGGAGCGCCGTCTGTGCACATCATCGACTTCGGGATGGCACTTCCCGTGGGCCAGTGCCATCCCGAGAGCAGCAAAGGGCGGCAGTCGTGGTACTGCGCGTGCGTGCACCAAGGCACGCCGCTGACGGAGTAGTGCGACGTGCTGGGCGTGGGCGTGATGCTGCAGTTCGTGGCGGAGAGCATGAAGGCGCCGCTGGCGGCCCTGCAGGCGCTGGCGGAGCGAGCGCAGCGCCCCGAGCACGACCAGCGCCCCACGCTGGAGGAGATCGTGGAGGCGCTGGGCGAGATGCTGCGCCTCTGCCAGTGAGCAGCCCTTGGAGGCGAAGCCTGGCTTTCGGAAGGAAGTCTTGTGGCGCCGCCAGGAAAAGTCTGCTTTTGAAGGGAAGAGCCAGGCGCCATTTTCTGTTTTTTTTTGTTTTTTTTTATAATAACGAAAAAAAAGAAAAAAAAAAGACATAAAAATGTTGAAAAAAAGTAAAAAAATTAATAAAAAAATAAAAAAGCTAAAAAGTAAAAAAAAAAAAAAAAAAAAAAAAAAAAAAAAAAAAGCTAAAAAAAAAATAAATAAAAAAAAGCTAAAAAAAAAAAAAAAAAAAAGCTAAAAAAAAAAAAAATATATATACATATTTGCCCGTGCATTGGTATTGTGTGTGTGTGTGTGGTTGCGTTTGTGCGCGCACGTGCGCGTGTGCGTGTGCGTGTGTGTGTGTGTGTGCATGTTTGTCTTTGTGCGCGCTCAAGCGTGTGTGCGTGTGTGTGTGTGTGTGCATGCTTGCGTTTGTGCGTGCGCGCGCGTGCGTGTGTGTGTGTGTGCATGATTGCGTTTGTGCGTGCGCGCATGCGTGTGTGTGTGTATGCATGCTTGAGTTTGTGCGCGCGCGTGTGTGTGTGCATGGTTGCGCTCAAGCGAACGCGTGTGTGTGTGTGTGTATGGTTGCGTTTGTGTGCGCGCGCGTGCGTGCATGTGTGTGTGTATGTGTGCATGGTTGCGTTTGTGCGCTCGCGCGCGCGCGCGTGTGTGTGTGTGCATGGTTGCATTTGTGCGCTCGCGCGTGTGCGCGTGTGTGTGTGTGTGTGTGTGCATGGTTGCGCTCGCGCGCGAACGCGTGTGCGTGTGTGTATGGTTGCGTTTGTGTGCGCGCGCGTGCGTGCATGTGTGTGTGTGTGTCTGTGTGTGCATGGTTGCGTTTGTGTGCTCGCGCGCGCGCGCGCGCGCGCGTGTGTGTGCGTGTGTATGCATGTTTGCGTTTGTGCGCGCGTGCGTGTGTGTCCATGGCTGCGTTTGTGCGCGCGTGCGTATGTGTGTGTGTGCATAGTTGTGTTTGTGCTCACTCGCGCGTGTGCGTGCGTGCGTGTGTGTGTGCCTGGTTGCGTTTGTGCGCGCTCGCGCGTGTGCGTGCGTGTGTGTGTGTGTGTTTTTGTGTGCATGGTTGCGTTTGTGCGCTCGCGCGCGCGCGTGTGTGTGTATGTGTGTATACATGGTTGCTTTTGTGCGCGCGCGCACGTGCGTGTGTATGTGTGTATACATGGTTGCTTTTGTGCCCGCGGGCGCGTGCGTGCGTGTGTGTGTGTGTGCATGGTTGCGTTTGTGCGTGCGTGCGTATGAGTATGTGTGCGTGTGCACGAGTGTGTGTGTGTGTGTGTGTGTGTGTGTGTGTGTGTATGTATATGTTCATGCGTAATAATTAGAAATACAAAACAGTTAAATAAAACGATAAAATAAGCATCAAACTCCATAAAAGAACCGTTGAAATAAAATATGTAATAAAAAGGACATACCACAAACGCCGCGAAATAAGTTAATTCTATATCAAAATCTCGATGATAAATCAAGAGACCTAGAAAACAAATTAAATGTATTAAACGAAAGCAGAACTGGTAAAAATTAACGTAAGGCAGTAATACAGACAAGTAATAGGAAAAAATAGAAAACGGCACAGGGATAACTAAACTAGTCACGCGCAGGAGAAATTGTGGTGCCAATAAAAGTCAAGCGCGTGTGCAACTGAAGTGTGTCGCCCTCTCCTCTGGAGCATAGACCACACTTCGCAGTAATCATAATGGTAAACATAATATGGGTCCTGTGATAAAACAATCGTAATGTTTAAGCACACTTTCTCTCCCTCTACCCCCCTCTCTTTCTCTATAGATCTATAAATATGTCTCTATTTCTCTCTCTCTCTCTCTCTTTCTCTCCCTCTATCTATCTATCTGCCTATCTATCTCTCTCTCTCTCTCTCTCTAGCTGTAGCTATATCTATCTATCTCTGCCTATCTATATATCTATCTATCTCACTCTACCTATCTCTATCTCTATCTCTATCTTTAAAATTCAGCAATTTAGGTAGGAACAGGCAAATACAAGTTCTTTACATTTCCGCCATCTTGGTTTACCTGAAGGAACAGGCTTCGGTAATTCATGTTCTTAACTTTTTGTTTACGAAGAAAACGGTATACATTTGAAAAAGCTCACTTCAATAAACAACAATTTTGTGCGTTTTCAGTAGTAAAAGTCCGTGGAGTACTTTGGGGTTAGTGTCTGCTAAGGAGCCATTTTGTATTGTCATTTTTATTGTAAGTTATTTTGACTGGTATGTACCATATACCTGTCTCACACACACACATGGCAAGCACACATTCGCCCATACACGCACATACGCTTAAATCCTCATCATAAACAAGTGTTAGCGCGCCGAACCGCGGTTGATTAGGAAGGGCATTCAATCAGGCAAGGGTGACACTGCCATATAACCTCTCAATATTGAATTGAGAGAGGCCTATGTCCTGCAGTGGAATGAATGGCTGTTGAAAAAAAAAAAAAAACATAGCTTACGAGGAGAAAACATTCATAAACCTCGTGATGTTAAAGAAGGCTCAAACCGCTTCTAGGTCTCTCTCTCCTCAGACTGATCCATATTTACACAAACATGCACTCACAAATGCACACAAATTTATCTTTCGCTGGAATTTCACTTCTTGTCGGGTTAATGCTCGTCAGCCTTAGAATTCGTTTAGAAAGACTGACCCTAAAAGACTTGTAGTAATAAAATAAAATTAGATTAAATACCTGATTAAACCATGAGATGATGGGACAAGGCTAAATAGAACTAAATTATTTAAAAAAACAGCCCAGTCATAGAAGATAACAACATTGCAAACATTGTACATAGCGTGGATGTTTAGGTGAATTACGAGTTGCTTCCCACACACGAGATTTTTTTTTTCTTTTTCTCGAACAGGACGTGTGTGGGCGTGGGCAGTATCCCTTGTCGTGGGCGTTTCTCCCCTGCCATGGTGATAATGAAAGGGACTTTACTCAATTCATCGAGCTCCCCTTCAAAAGGGCTGGTAAAAAGACAGTTGAAATCAAATTTGTTGTGCGATATATTGGCATTTATTTGGGTTTTATAAGCATGACATGGAATTAATCTTTATTTTTCGACTATGTGAGATGACTCGTGTCGTGAAATAGAAAAAAAAAATGGCGACGCGGCGCACAATGTCGACAAGAAATCGCATTTCCCATTAATCAGTGTTTTTCTCTTTTCTTTTCTTTTCTTTCTTTTTTTTTGCTTCTTTTTGATTAATAAAACAGTATAACAACATATATCAATAAAATATTAACAGCCAAAAAGTTAGATGTGACGAAAATATCGCAGAAATACAATTCCTGCTCCATTTTTCGCATTGCGCGGCTCTTTTGTTCAGTGACAACTTCTTTACCAAAAGTTGATGATCCGAGAATTCCCGCTCAGATCGCCACAACTGAGGCTAGCCGCATCAGAGCAACAACTCACGCAGACAGCTCAGCATAAGGAAGCCAAGCCGAGCGGAAGCCTTTTAGCTTTTGAGCGCAGACTTGGCCAACAGCGACAGGATGTAGGTGGCCAAGCTTTCGAGCAAGGAGTGCAAGTTCCTGCAGAAGGGGAAGGAGGTGCGCCTCGGGAAGGGCAAGTACGGGCGCGTGGTGCGCGTGAGCTACAAGGGCAAGGAGTGCGCCCTCAAGCTGGCCGCCCCCGGCTCCAAGGTGGTGTTCGAGCACGAGATGGAGATGCTGAGGCGGCTGCAGGGCGCGGGGGGAGCGCCCATGGCCTTGGCGTACAGTGAGGATCCGTCGTGCCTCCTGATGACGTACCTGGGCAAGGAGTGCCTGGCCGACGTGCTGAGTGCGCAGCGCAGCCAGAAGCAGCTCCTGCAGCTGAGCGTGAAGCTGGCGGAGGCCGTGGCGGCCGTGCACGCCGCCGGCATCGTGCACTGCGACCTGAAGCCCACCAACGTGATGGTGCAGCTGCGCGGCGCAGCAGGAGCGCCGTCGGTGCACATCATCGACTTCGGGATGGCACTTCCCGTGGGCCAGTGCCATCCCGAGAGCAGCAAAGGGCGGCAGTCGTGGTACTGCGCGTGCGTGCACCAAGGCACGCCCCTGACGGAGTAATGCGACGTGCTGGGCGTGGGCGTGATGCTGCAGTTCGTGGCGGAGAGCATGAAGGCGCCGCTGGCGGCCCTGCAGGCGCTGGCGGAGCGAGCGCAGCGCCCCGAGCACGACCAGCGCCCCTCGCTGGAGGAGATCGTGGAGGCGCTGGGCGAGATGCTGCGCCTCTGCCAGTGAGCAGCCCTTGGAGGCGAAGCCTGGCTTTCGGAAGGAAGTCTTGTGGCGCCGCCAGGAAAAGTCTGCTTTTGAAGGGAAGAGCCAGGCGCCATTTTCTGTTTTTTTTTTTATTTTTTTTTATTTTTTTTTTATATAATAACGAAAAAAAAGAAAGAAAAAAAAGACATAAAAATGTAGAAAAAAGTAAAAAAATGAATAAAAAATAAAAAAACTAAAAAGTAAAAAAAAAAATAAAAAAAAATAAAAATAAATAAAAAAAAATAAAATAAAAAAACATAAATAAAAGCTAAAAAAAAATATATATATATACATATTTGCCCGTGCATTGGTATTGTGTGTGTGTGTGTGGTTGCGTTTGTGCGCGCACGTGCGCGTGTGCGTGTGTGTGTGTGTGTGCATGTTTGTCTTTGTGCGCGCTCGCGCGTGTGTGCGTGTGTGTGTGTGTGTGTGCATGCTTGCGTTTGTGCGTGCGCGCGCATGCGTGTGTGTGTGTGTGCATGATTGCGTTTGTGCGCGCGCGCGTG